TCCACTGGAGAGTAAATGACCTCAGAGGTCCACCATTGGAGAGTAGATTATCTCAGAGGTCCTCCATTGACATATAGATGACATTAGCGGTCCTCTACTGGAGACTATATGATTTCAGACAACCTCAGAGGTCCTCTACAGAAGAGTGGATGACCTCAGAGATCCTCTACAGAAGAGTGGATGACCTTAGAGGTCCTCTACAGAAAAGTAGATGACCTCAGAAATCCTCTACGGAAGAGTAAATGACCTAAGAAATCCTATACGGAAGAGTAGATGAACTCCGAGATCCTCTTCAGAAGAATAGATGACCTCAGCGGTATTTTACGGAAGAGTAAATGACCTCAAATGTCCTCCACAGAAAAGTAGATGACCTCAGAGGTCCTCTACAGAATAGTAGATGACCCTAGAGGTCCTCTACAGAAGCGTAGATCTTTAAGTAGAGGACCCCAGAGGTCGTCTACAGAACAGTAGATGGCCTCCGAGGTCTTCGAATGTAGAGTAGATAACCTCAGAGGTCCTCGAAGTTTATGGCTGCAGGTGTCATAAAATGTGAATTAGATGTCCTTAAGGGTCATTCATTGGGGATGGCCTCATTTATTGGGGAAAAGGTCGCCTCAAGGTTCATCTACTGGAAAGTACATGGCTTCCGGAGTCATATACTATGAATTACATGTCTTCAAGGGTCATTTACAGGAAAATAGATTGCCTCAGGAGTTATTTACCTTGACGTACATGTCGTCAAGGGTCGTAGATGGTATCAGAGTTTCCCAACCATGATGTAGATGTCTTCACAGATCATAAATTGTAGAGTAGATGTTCAGAATTCATCTACTGAGAAGCATAAGGCTTCAGCAGCCATCTCAAGATAAGAGATGGCTTCAAGGGTCATATATTGGGATGGCCTCAAACGTTATATCCTGGAAAGTAGATGTCCTTATGGAGGACATCTACTGGAAAGTAGATGACTTCAGGTGTCATAAACTGTAAAGTAGATGTTCTCAAGGGTCATTCATTGGGGAGTATATGACCTCATTTATTGGGGAAAAGGTTGCCTCAAGGGTCATCAACTGGGAAGTAGCTTCTGGAATCGCATACTACGAATTGCATGTCCCCTAGAATTTTCTACAGGAGAGTAGATTGCCTCAGGAGTTATTTACCTTGAAGTAGATGTCATCGAGGGTCATCTACTATGGCTCCATAGGTCACCTACTATAAGGGTCACATACTATGGCTCATTTTTTGGGGAAAAGGGTAACGTACTGAGAAGTATGTCGCTTCCGGAATCGTATATTATGAATTACATGGCCTCAAGGGTCATCTACAGATAAGTAGATTGCCTCAGGATTTATTTACCTTAAGGTAGATGTCGTCAGGAGTCATCTACTGATGGCTACATATGTCATCCATTGGTAAGCGAACGGATTCTTAGACTTCATCATCCAATGCGGTGTAGATGGCGCCAGGGTTCCCCATCCTCGATGCAGATATCTCCATAGATCATCAATTTTGATTCCTTACTCCCCCTCCCTCTCCCCTACCGACTCCACTCTCCTCCACCAGACTGCCATCGAAGTTCCCCACCTTGTTGTTACATGGCATGAAAGTTTATGAACTCACGTTGTTGTCACATTTTCTGTTGTCCCTTTTAAACCAACTTCCTTTTGTTGTTTCATTTTTTTATTTTGCGAATTAAATGCAAATTGTCTATGACACTATTGTCAGGAGGCTATTTTCATGGCGCAAAAAATGCAACAACAAAAACTATGGAAATTTCCCGACATTGTCAAGCAACAAAAGGAAGCGGAACACAAAAATACAAGACAACCTCAAACCCATTCTTTTGTGTTTTTTTTTTCTCTCTCTCTCTCTCTCCCTGTTTCCCATTCTCTCTGGTCTTTTATTTATTCGGAGAGGTCTGACTTTAAGTTTGGAGGACATTGTTCAGTGACACGGCGGGTCCGTCTGGTGGGGTTGGTTGTCTGAACACCTTTCAAATAAAAAAAAACGCTATCAGGGATGACAAAAAGCAAAATTCAAGACTTGGTAAATGTTTAAACAACGGAAGAGCGACAACATTAAAAGACAGGATAATGGAAAACTACCAAAAAAAGTTCAGTACCGACATAATTCCAAAAATTGGATGCGACTTACGGGTTCCCCTTGGAGTTGGAAAAATTGGGTTGTCTGGCTTGCCAGACAAATTGCATGGCTGAAAGGTGTTATTGGCGTTCCAAAAAAATAGGAGGAAGAATAAAAGAAAATAAATTAAATATTACATGAGTCTGTCGTACCCTCACACACCCTTTCGACTTCCATATGTTGCAAGACCTCGTTAGTTTTTCCATTATTTCTGTCTCGCCTGCCTGTATCACACTCAAACCACCTTTCCCCACTCCTTGCATCTTGCACCCACATCATTTACTTCAATGCTTCGCCAAATTAAAAGCCTAAAGGTATGCAGGCAGTACCAATTGTTATCCTGTTGTCAATGAATCGCCATTTTCCACAAAAGAATAAGGCTGGCTGGTTTGCTTGTCTTGAATCTCCAAATACCCAACTCCAAGGTGATGATGTTAAGGAGCTGAGAAAAAGGTTAGGAAAATGAGAAGCTTTCTACTCCCCCCTGGCATGAGAAAAAATTCCAGGCCAAAAAAGCCATTCTTATTCTTATCCTGACAGAGACATAATAATCCCGAAAGAACGTTAATTTTTTTTTCGTGACACAAAGTGAAAGACCATCAACTTTCTTGACGTATAGCAGACCACAAAGAAGTAGAGATGCAAAAAAATATAAGAGAAGATGTTAAAATATGGGTGGAAAGCCCGCGGAAGTCATCCACCAAAGAAGAGATGTAGAGAAGATGAGCTCATTGTTGAGTAGATTGGCTAAAAATTACTTCTACTGATGCGTAGGCGTGACTAAAGGACATCTACCGTAAAGTTGATGGACTCAGAGACAATTTCCTGTAGAGTAGCTGCGCTCAGAGCTCATCTACCGTAGAGAGAATGAACCCAGAGGTCATCTACAATAGAGCAGATGGACTCAGAACTCATATATTGATGTCACCCCCAGTGGAGAAAACGGACTACACCGTCCACGGCAAAGGAGAGGTCATCTACGATTAAGTAGATTGGCTCCGACATAATTTATTGCAAATTAGAGAAGTTCGGTATTCATATACTACAGAGTAGATGGACCCAGATAACATATCCATGAATTCAGAGGTCTTCCACTGGAGAGCAAATGACCTGACAGGACCTCCATTGGAGAGTAGATGACCTCAGAGATCATTTACAAAAGAGTAGATGACCTAATAGGTTATCCACCGTAAATTAGATGATCTCAGAGTTCATCTACAGAAGAGTAGGTGACATCAAAGGTCTTTTACAGAAGAGTAGATGACCTCATAGGTCTTCTAAAGAAAAGTAGATGGCATCATAGGTCTTCTACAGAAGAGTAGATGACATCATAGGTCCTCCACCGTAAATTAGGTGACTTCAGAGATCCTCTACAGAAGAGTAGATGAACTCAGAGATCTTCTTCAGAAGAATATATGATCTCGGAGTTCTTTTACGGAAGAGTAAATGACCACAAAGGTACTCTACCGAAGAGTAGATGACCTCTGGAGTCCTCTACAGAAGAATATATGACCTCGGAAGTCCTCTACAGAAGAGTAGATGACTTCAGATGTCCTCTATAGAAGAGTAGATGACATCAAAGGTCTTTTACAGAAGAGTAGATGACCTCAGGGGTCCTCTACAGAATAGTAGATGACCTCAGGAGTCCTCTACAGAAGAATAGATGACCTCAGAAGTCCTCTACAGAAGAGTAGATGACTTCAGAGGTCCTCTACAGAAGAGTAGATGACCTCACAGGTCCTCTACGAAAGAGTAGATGACCTCAGAGGTCCTCTACTGAAGTGTAGATGACCTCAGAGGTCCTTTACTGAAGAGTAGATAACCTCAGATGTCCTCTACTGAATAGTAGATGACCTCAGAGGTCCTCTACAGAAGAATAGATGACCTCAGAGGTCCTCTACAGAAGAATAGATGACCTCAGAGGTTCTCTATCGTAAATTAGATGATCTCAGAGGTCCTCCATTGAAGTGTAGATGATCTCAGAGATCCTCTACTGAAGTGTAGATGATCTCAAAGGTCCTTTACAGACAAGCAGATGACCTCAAAGGTCCTCTATAGAACAGTAGATGGTCTCCGAGGTATTTGAATGTAGAGATAACCTCAGAGGTCCTCTACAGAACAGTTGATGGTCTCCGAGGTCTTCGAATGTAGAGTAGATGACCTCAGAGGTCCTCGAATTTAGAGTAAATGACTCCAATGGCCCTTTATTGTAGAGTAGATGCTCTCAGATGCCCTCTACTGTAGAGTAGATGACCTCAGAAGTGTTCTATTGTGAGGTAGATGACCTAAGAGGTCCTCTACTGCAGAGAAGATGAGCTACTATTGATTAGATGACCTCTTAGGTCCTCTAGTGGAGAGTAGATGGCATAAGAGGTCATCTACTGCTAATTAAATGGAATTAGAGGCAGTCTCTACAGTAGACCGATTAGAGACCTCTACTATCGCGTGGAGGACCTCTGAGATCATCATTGATGTTTTCTACGAAATGTGAGAACTTCTGAGACCTTCTTAGTTTAATTTATTTTTTGCAGAATTTTTACGTGTAAGTACTGACAACAATCATACGCCTAAAAGCATTTCAAGTTTTTTTGGAAGTGTGTAAGTTTACCTAACATGTTTTTTATCTTCGAATAGGGTTGAGGACTGTTGGTACTGTGTGTGTTCTCGATAATTTTGATGATCGAAATCGTAGAGTATAGTAGAGAGAGATACAGATAGAGTAGTGAAAATGTATTTTTGTGAATAAGAATTTCGTTTTTGTGGCAAAAGGAACAATAAATGAAAAAAATAACAACAAGTAAAAGAAAGACAAAAGAAGAAGGAAAGAAACGAATGTAGCAAAGAAGTTGGCCTTTACATACCTGCAGTGGCGAGAGTGTAATCCCAGCTGGTTTCTGGTTCATTTTTGTAGACGTTCAATTTTTCCGGCTAGAGAAGAAGGGGAAAAAGATAACGATTAAAAAAATAGCAAGGGTTAAGTTTGTGCTCCAATAAATCAAAAAAAGAAAAATTTGGAACTGGGATCAAAACTCTACAAAAAAAATTAAAAAAATAAACTAAGGAGAAATTGAAATAAAAATGAAAATCTAAAAAATACACCTCAAAATTTGTTTTCAAGGGCGTATGACTGTTTTTAATGCGAATAATGGTGGGTATTGGGTGACGTATGATTGACATCAGCGGTTATACGCCGTTCGTATAACTTTTGTTATTACTCATACGTCACCATTTACCTTCCGTTATTCAAAATAATAATAGTCATACGCCCTAGAAACAATATTACCAAATTTGAGTATTCTATGAATTATTTTCATTTTTATTATAATTATTTTTATTTCATTTATTTATTAAATAAATTAATATTTATTTTTTTATTTATTTATTTTATTAATTTTATTTATTTTATTTTTTTGACTTACTCACCTTGGCAAAATCAATTTTCAAAGTACAACATCCCGAATAAATATCAGCTCCATTTAAATTTTCCCTGGCTCTGGTTGCCGATTCCAAGCTGTCGAATTCCACCATGGCCTGGACGCCATTCTTTTTGAATATGACAATGCGCATTACCTGGCCGTGTGGGACACATATTTTATGCAAGACATCCTGCAATGAAACAAAGGGGAGAGAGAAACAAATTTAATTTCAGTTGAAGGCAAAAAAAAAAATAAATAAATAAAAAATATTTAAGGCTAATTATCAGGCCTAGACCTCAAAACAATAGACAGCCAGATTATGCCAAGTGCTTTGGCTGGTAAATTAATTATTGGTGTTTTAAGCACCCATGGAGAACATGACTTGATTGGTTTTGGCACCAAAAATACTTAGTTTTTTATTGAAAAACCAATTTGAATGAAAATGACCACAAATACCTACCTGACGTCTAATGCCAAAATCCCCCAGACTTTGGCTGAAATTGCCAAGAAGAGAAAAAAACGACATGCTGATGACCCCCAACAACACCATATCATGCCAGGCATTCATTTTCGAAATCAAGTACAAGGCGAAAAGGTAAATGTTTTCATTACTCACATGAAGGGATTCTGAGAAAATGTATCAAAAAAATCTGCTGATGTTATGACCCACCAGCAGCTCAGCCTTCAAGAAATTACATGTCTTTTTTTCGTCCAAAACCAAAAAAACTGGCTATTGTCATGTCCTGAAAGAAGGATATTTTCCCAACCGAAAACAATAGCCGTCATCAACTTTAAAAGCTTTTTGCATTCCCTTCCGAAAAAAGAAAGGTGTTAAAGGACCTGCCTTCCAAGGATGTATTTTTTTTTTCAAATACCAGGTGTTATTGTATCATTCCAGGCAAAATATTTGCAAATCATTGATGGTAGGTAGACACAACAAACAAATGATTCTGGTATATCCTACCAGCAGCATGTCGTTCTCGTACCTGGGGTTTACTGACTGGCATCCAACTAAATTTAAGGGGAATTAATGTTGTAGAACTCCCCCCATGTAGGATATGGGGGAAAATGCCCATTTTGCTGGAGGTGAAGGCTGAAGACCATCAATAACAATGTTTTGTACGCCGAGGCGATCAACATTCATTCCCAAGGCACCTGTGCAACAATAGCCCATAGAGGTAGGTTTGATATTTGAAAGAAATGTTACACCAAAGGAAAAACATCTGATGGAGGTGATTTTCAAATAAGGAAAATTTTCAGGATACAAATATTTTCCAAGGACCTTTATAGGAAGACAATAATTTGATAGCAATTGAAGTTCCTTTTAAAATCTTGAAGAATTTTAATCGAACTCTTATTTTTTGCCCACATGAGTCACCCTGTCGTATAAGTATTGACAACACGTATACGCATAATAGCTTTAATACCCTTAGCCATATGGCTAAAGAGGCTATATATCATTTTACACAGTCAAAACGTGCCTCATCGCAATAACGGTTTTCGAAGCTAGGTTTCTTTGGCCAAAATCCGTTTCAGGACATTTGGTGTCTAGATCGACATGTCCGTTCGTCCGTTTGTTTGTCTAGCTGGCTGTTGCGCACGATAACCCTCGAAGAGAGTATCCGATTTGATCCAAACTTGGTACATCGTAATATGATTACCAAACTTAGATTGAGTTCGGAGATGGGCAAAATTGGCCCGCTCCTTCTGGTACCTCCCCCACAAAAGTGCGAAATGTTCAAAGAAAATAATTTACTGCATAGAATCAGAAAGGATCATCCGATTTTGCTCCAACTTTGCAAATCCTAATATTTACATCAGTGCTAGGTCAGGTGCAAAAATTGACAATATCGGTCCACGCCATCAAGTCCTCCCCAAAAAGGGTCAACATTTTTGAATAATTATAACCCTAATAAAATGTGATGTAAGAGTCCGATTGTCTTCAAATTACACACATCTCAATGTCTCTATTAACCCAAGGTCTGGTGTGAATATGGAATATATCGGTCCACTCATTCTGGTACCAACCCCACAAAGGGTCAAAATTTTGAATATCCATGAAGGTCATACAACGCTAAATTAATATCCGATTCCACTCCGACTTGGTATATCTCAATATTTCCATCAGATCAGTCATAGAGATGCTAGAGATCGGACAATTCATTGTGGTACCTCCCCCACAAAGGGTCAAAGTTTTGAATAAACAAAACGATTATAAAACCCGACATAAGCATCCGGTTCTCTTCAAACTCTACACATCCAAATATTTCTACAAACACAACATCTGCTATGAAAATGGAATATATCGGGCCAATCCTTCTGGTACCTTCTTCACAAAGGGTCAAAATTTTGAATATCAAAGAAGCTCATAAAACGTGAAATTAACATCCGATTCCATTCAGATTTGGCACATCTGAATATTTTCATCAACACAAGATCTGTCATAGAGATGCTGGAGATCGGACCATTCCTTCTGGTACCTCCCCCACAAAGGGTTAAAATTTTGAATAATCAAAACGATCATAAAATCCGAAATAAGCATCCGGTCCTCTTCAAACTCTAAACATCACAATATTTCTATTAACACAACATCTGCTATGAAAATGGGATATATCGGTCCACTCCTTCTGGTAACTCCCTCACAAAGGGTCGAAATTTTGAATATACATGAACCTCATAAAACGCTAAATTAATATCCGATTCCACTCAGATTTGGCATATCGCAATATTTCCATCAACACAATATCAGTCATAGAGATGCTAGAGATCGGACCATTCCTTGTGGTACCTCCCCCACAAAGGGTTCAAGTTCTGAATAAAAAAAACTATTATAAAATCCGAAATAAGTATCCGATTCTCTTCATATTTCACAGACCCTATTACCTCTACAAACACCAGACCTGCTGTGAAGATGGGATATATCGGTCCAGTCCTTCTGGTACCTCCCCCACAAATGTCAAAATTCCGAATATCCCTGAAGCTCATAAAACGCAAAATTAACTTCCGATTCCACTCGGTATATCTCAATATTTCCATCAACACAAGCTCTGTTATAAATATGGCAGAGATCGGACCATTCCTTGTGGTACCTCCTCCATATAGAGTTTAAGGTTTTAAATACCAAAAGGCTCAGAGAAAGCGGAGTAAGCATCCAGCTCTCTTCAAATTTCAGATACAACAACCCCGAACCCCTTCTGGTACTACCTCAGCCTCAAAGGGTCATAATTTTCAATACTTATATCTGTCCTAACTTGCGAAACATGTAGACGTTGCTTTACAACTTGCTATATCTAAATATTTCTCTCAACCAAAAACCTGAGATGAATATGCCCATACCATAGCGGAACCTACCCCATAGAGGGTTAGCAAGTTGAATATATGTTGTCAAAATACATGTAAATAATCGAGCATTGATTGAGGGTATACATCTGTCGGCAAAACCGACTGATACTTTTTATCTTTACCCACTTGTGCCACTCTGTCGTATGAGTGCTGTCACGTCGTCTCTATACCCTACAAAAATATGTTCTTGGGAATATGATATGCTTGTTTGGGTCAACATTTTTGTGGCACCTCGATATATTGTCCATAGTAAACATTTTCCCTTGAAATCATCTAACATTTTTGCCTGAGTGTACTCAGTTAATTCCTTAAGACCATTAGAAAGGACTTATGCACACAACAGGAGCTAAACGCACACACAATACCCACAAAGCGGGATGATAGCTTTCTGTTAATTGACATAATGACAAATACCCCCGGATTTAAGAGACTCAAAAATTTTCAAGAGGCCAAACTGTCCTCAAAACCTTAATGAAGAGGATGGTATTTGAATTTTCTTAAAGGACTCTTTTAGAAGAACATTTAAAGGAAAATATTTAAAATTTCATTTCAAAATTCCAACAAGGCCAAACTGGTTTATTTTGCTGTTTGATTATTAGCCATCATTTGTTGGACTATCAGCGGCTATTATCTTCTGTTTTTCCAACAATTTTGAGTAGCATTATCATCAAGGATATCCATTGAAATGACTATTTATCTATTCATTCATTCAGTCCATTCATTGTTTTAAATGAGTTTTCCCCTTCTTTTTTTCGTTTCCTTCCAACCACGACAGCGGCAACACGTAATGGGCCAAAGTTAGACGATTTCATAATTTCCAGAGTTGGCATTTTGTCAAAAACCGAAAATATCGTAAAAAACAAAAAAAAAAATAAAAGCTAAAACGTTTCAATGTTAGGTCATAGTAATAGGGGAGGACCAGAAGAAGGATGAGGCGAAAAGGGGGGACGGAGAAGGATAACAAATATTTCGAGGAAAGTAATAATAAAACAAATAGCTGTGATAATGGCCCAAACATAAACACTTAAAACCCAAAAATATCCTTTTAACACATTTAAGGACATTTTGAGATGCTCAAACAAAAATAGCAACAACAACAATGGCATACTAATGACTGCCAAAGAAAAAGAAAAGGATATTGAATTTGGTAGTGGTAGTAATAATAATAGAAATGATAAGAGATTATGCTACAACAAGGATAATGGCCTTCTAAGGACATCATAATGTGACTCAGAGATGTTTTCAAAATTAATAAAATTACCTTGGAACTTCCAAAGGACACAAAATAACAATTTTTTCTAAATATTTTGAATACCAAAGAGAGAAAAGAAACATGTCCTTCATGGAAACTTAGTTTCCGAACTTTTCCAGTCAGGTCACAAAAATAGCCATTTCAATTTATGTCAGTTATCATTTCAGTTTTATTATCTCCAGGATATGCGAGAAAGGACATCACATTTGTCAATTGATTATTTATGGTGTGTCACATACAAAAGGACAAGTAAAGACAAGGGTTGGACAGAAGTGAGCAACTGGATTAAAATAAAATGAATTGTTGAGAATATTTGACATGCAGGTAAGGCAGAGCTATTTTTGGGAATTATATGGAATTTTTACACAGACTTATATTAGTTTCAAGGACCTTTACTGAAATAATAATTTCAAAGATATTCAGAGCTATAATCGTGGAGTTAGGAGTATCTTTTCTATGAAACCCCCCCCCAACCAAGAACTAATAGAAACACAAATGTGTATTTTCTAAAAATTCTCCAGGACTCTCAGGATTAAAATCTATGGGTTTTAGGAACTTTTCGAAAGACTCCCCAAACCCAAAATCATGATTATTTA